GGCGACAGGCGGAGCCACAGGCTGCGTTGCATAGGGTAGGGGCGCGGCCACAGGCTGAACGGCTGGCGGATAGGCGACAGGAGGGCCTACCGGCTGAGCAGCACGCTGGCAGTGGGCAAGGCTGGATAGAGGCGGCTCGTGGTGCGCAACAGGAACAGCTTGGGCAACCTCCTCCGAAATAGCAGTGCGAAGCGGGGCAGGTAGACGGGTGGTGGTCTCGTGAGTGAAGGGCACAAGGGAAAGTTGGCGGGCGACTTCCTCACGGACGAAGGCTCGAACTTGTTGAACCAGTGGTGAATTGTCCGGCAGGGTGTCGAAACTGGACAGTGACTCACCACCATGCTGAGGCTGCCGAGTCAGAGTGCGTTGTTTCTTCAACTCGTCGTAGCTCTGACACAAGCTGACGACTTCGGAAACTGTGCTTGGATTTCTTGCCAAGAGCATCTGAAATGCGCCGTCGTCGATGCCCTTCAGGATGTTTTTGACCTTGTCAGATTCGGTCATGGTGTCATTCACACGTCGACAAAGGTCGACGACGTCCTCAATATAACTGGTAAAGGTCTCGCCAGTCTGCTGAGAGCGAACGCGCAAGCGCTGTTCTGCCCTCTGCTTGCGGACAGCCGGCCGACCGAACACTTCAGCACATGACGTCTTGAAGACGCTCCATGTGGGGATGTTGTGTTTGTGGTTATTAAACCACAATTCGGCGACGCCAGTGAGATAAAATATCACGTGGCCCAGCTTGTCGGCTTCATCCCACTTATTGTTGGCGCTCACCAGTTCGTAGTGCTCGAGCCAGTCTTCGACGTCGGTCCCATCCGCACCGCTGAAGACCTTCGGCTCCCGTAGTTTAGGATGGCCAGGGCAGTTGAACTGGAGCGATGGCGTCGATGTAGTGGCGTTGGCAGTCATGACAGGTGGTAGCGTGCGGCTTCGCAGCTCCAGGGCGTAGCAACGGGGATTAACAGCACCTTCCACCAAATGTGAGGAGGTTTATTAGCCGTTAAAGCCAGCGACGAGACAGCGTCAAGAACCGTTCAGCGATCGGCACAGCAACGAACCGAAGCACGAGCCGAGAGAGCCAGGCGTTGGCGATGCTGCTCGCTGCAGGCACATCTTCTTCTTGCATTAAAGTTAAAGCCTTACATCTATCATGTGAACTTGACATTGAATGAAAATTTACTTGTACGAATAGTCACGTGGCAACCTGGTTATTTTGGTGACCAAGAGACGCAAGCGGCATGTTCACTTTGTCTCTGCGCTGTTCGCATGATTAACACAAGGGTTTTAAGAAACCGTGGTGTTCGCTTTGATTTTTGTGGTATTCAGGTGCCCAAAAATGAAAATAGACGTTTGTGCGCGTCGTAAGCCACGCTGTATAAAAAGAGCCATTGTAAGCCTTTCACCTTCAAAAAATTGTCTTAAGCGAATGCATGAAGGTGTGTGTGTGTGTGTGTGTGTGTGTGTGTGTGTGTGTGTGTGTGTGTGTGTGTGTGTGTGTGTGTGTGTGTGTGTGTGTGTGTGTGTGTGTGTGTGTGTGTGTGTGTGTGTGTGTGTGTGTGTGTGTGTAAGCACTTTGAAAGCACGTTAACGTATGAATTGAAGAAAAAATGTCTCTATTTAAGAAAAGCATCCATACAACGACAATAACCACGGCAGTCTCACGAGATTCGGTGACTACATCTGTAACGGTCAACTCGACTGTTCAAAACCACTTGCCAATCCCCTGAAGTGCTTGCATTTTATATGTGCATATAACACGCATACCTACAACCACCTGTATGACCATACAAAAAAAGGGCTGGCTAATCCTCTCCCCCCTCCAGGAATAAATTTTCAGATGCGCCCTAGAAGAATACGGGTAGGCCACAGCATCGCGCGCTGGAACAACAATGTAGGCTCTGTATTCTGTCTTTGTATGCAGCATAGCAGGATTCGAAACCAACTCTAGCAGCCCTCGTAGAACACATCATTTTATACTAACTACGCAGACTGTTCTGAACGTACACTCCTTATCATATTCCCAGTAAAACACTATAGATAACCGGGACACTAGACCAATTTGTCAATTGTCCCGTATATAGCTACCACTTTGAATGGGACATGATTAACAGCGTATGTTGATGAGTGAGCAGAGTTTCAGCCGTGAAACTTACGCCGATTCGTTGAAATGTGCGCGAATGCAGTGACGGCGTTGACGTCAGAGGTGCTGGATAAGGCTGAGAAGTCAATGTAGCCCACGCACCTCTCGCCACCCAAAATGTCCTGGTGAAGGCTGGGAAGGGATTTCCTCCTTCTCTTCTCGCGCCGCATACCCAAGCAGTGCCACAAATCATAGATGCAGAAAGTTTGCCGAGTACATTTTGTAGACTAGAATGAAGCGTGTTGAAATATGCTTTCAAGTTTCGGCCAAAGAAATGAGGATTTGATTTATTTCCTCTCCTCAATGTAGCACTGTTAGTTTGGTTTCCGAACTTAGAACATCACAAGGTATAGCTAGTTGGTGCGAATTAGTGATAAAAGAAGGTAGGCACGTGAATACGGGTAGAAACCGAGTTTCGGCAGTTATGTGGTCTTGTCCACCGCTCTTGCGTCCTCATCGACACGTCTACCTTTTTCTGCCATGGCTTAGAAACTCGCCCTTCCCCGTCTCCCTCTTCTACCCTCTATGGGAGAATGGGAATTTATTACCGCCTGGCTTTACACTTGTGATGCGTCCAGCATCTGCGTTATGGAGTCTCCGTCAAACTGACGTGCGCTTATCGGTTCCTGGAATCGTTAAGAAGGCACGCATGTCACCGCTTGCCCTGAAGCAATTGACTTTGCGTCTGTTAGACTAAAGGTACTTAGGTCGCATACATGTTTCCACCTATGCCTCCACTGATTCCAGCAGCTGTACAGGAGCAGTGGTTGTTCCATCGGGTAATGTGTTGCTTCAATACAAGTTTTCTGACAGCATGACGTCGACAGCAGCAGAGCTCGCAGCGCTTCAAGTTGCAGTAAAGTACATTCTTCGGCAGCAGCCTGACCAATGGGTCATCTTTCGCGACACGAGTTCAGCCTTACAGGCACTACGATTCGTTATGCAGCACGGGCTTCACGAACAATCAGTATATCAGATAAGGCACGACTACCACGAAGCGCTCATTGAAGGTGACGATGCTGTATTTCAATAGTTGCTGAGTCATTGCGGAATCGTCAGCAATGACCGCACGGATGGAGCTGCTCGATCGCCTCATGACCAAGACCTGCGTACGCCCATACCACTCTTGAGAACGGACGCTGCAAGGAGACTACAATCACTCGCTCGCCGTATAACTCTCATACAATGGAATACACCGGGTATCTTCAACACGTGTCCTGTATTCGATCGACCCAAACTTGCAACTTTGTTTGCCTTCCGGGCTCCCACGATGCGCTGAAACTTACTGTGTGGCATGAGGTTGGGCGTGGCAATTTACGAATGCGACAGTATTCTCCTCTCCTTGGAATGGCGAGCAGTTCGGCATGCAGAAACTGCGCCTGCGAGGAAATGCTTGAGCATATTCTATGCCACTGCCCACCATACCAGTCTGAAGGACGTAATATAAAAGACAAGCTCTCTCAGCTGGATTCACAGCCGCTTACAGAAAAGAAGATCCTGCGACCTTGGCCGATGGATTCGCATACGCGCAAAGCCACTAAAGCCCTCTTGTGCTTCTTAAAGACCACCTAGACTTCAAGAACACTTGTGAAAGAACAGCGTAAACCGTGCTGTGTAGTCTCGAACTGACTCTTCATCCTTCCTCTTTCTTACTCTTATTCTGCTCTATCTCATTCATTTCTATTATTCCCCCTTTCCCCCACCTCGAGAGTAGGGTAGCCAACTGAGCCAAGCTTGGTTAACCTCCCTGCTTTTCCTCTCTATTTATCTCACTCTCTCTCTGAGCGTTCAGTAAAAGTTATCGCCATAAACACAACTTGAACGACAAGTGCATACGCACTGGCAAGACTGCCCGGCTTAACTTTTTCTTCAACCCAATGCTCCCGGCGTGCTGTCGACTGAGTGGGATAGTTTATTAAAAACAAACTGGCCCAGTATTTACGGAAGTTAAAATATTCTAGCGTGGCGAGTTACCGAATTCAAAGAGCACATCGAAGTCCCTGCGTATTCCCGGAATCCTCCGCGCGTCAGGGTATGCAAAGAAGTGCTGCGCCACCGCTTGTTTAGGCGTCTTTCAAAACCCGTCTACTTTTGTCGCCACTGCAAAAGCGAAACCATTGAAAAGCGCGCACACAGTGACCAAATGGGAAGAAACTTTGACCGGGAAACGCGCACTCCGAAGTGTTGAATGGATTAGGAGGAGGATAAAATAGTGCTGCTTTTGGGGGCCCAACTGCGTCGTCGACGGAACACGTGGCGTGACGTCGTCGCGCGGGTCTTCGAATCGATCGGTTAAGTGGAGTGATGGAGTCAGTGACTGAGCGGCCAAGTACGAGCAGGAGGAGGAGGAGACAGGTGTGACGTTCCGGACCGCTCGGATGAATCCCTCTTACTCCGCGTTAGAATGCGTATCGAAACGACATGGATGTTTCTCACGGTTGCACGATGTGCCCTTCGGGCGGCGTGTCATACTCGTTTGAATTTCACTGCTGTCACTGTGCTCAGCTTGCCACGGAACGCTTTGCCGAGGAAGGGAGAATACAGTTTTGGGTGGGGCGTGCTCGCGAGACCGTGTTAGCGACCGCAGCGGGCCAAGCGGTTGGCGACGGCAGTGGCGGCCTCCAAGCGGCGAGCGAAGGGATTAATAGGGGAAACAGACGGCGCTCGCATCCTGCGTTTTTTTAGGGAGTTTTTTTAACGGACCTCGCCGGTTTCGGAGTCAGTGAGGGGGGTTTCGGTTAGGCCTAGAGGGCCGCGCGTCATGCCCGACGTCGGCGGCGAGCCACGATGCGCCACCCGGTCGTCGCCGCGCCGCTAGCGCTGACGCCGAGCGCCGCGCGGGCGCCGCGCTGCCTCCATGAAGCGGCAAAACGTGCGCACGCTCTCGCTGATCGTGTGCACCTTCACGTATCTGCTCGTCGGCGCGGCCATCTTCGACGCGCTCGAGTCGGACCACGAGGGCAAGCAGCACGGGGCACTGACGTACATCGAGGACATGCTGGTGCGCAAGTACAACATCAGCGCCGACGACCGCAAGATCTGGCAGACGGTGGTCATCAAAATGGTGCCCCACCGGGCCGGCACTCAGTGGAAGTTCACCGGGGCATTCTACTTCGCCACCACGGTGCTCACCACCATCGGTGAGTCCTTGAAGCCCGGGTGCGTGCGTGCGTGCGTGTGTGGGATGCGGGGCTGGGACGCGTGGGCGCCTTTCGCCGGTCAGTGCTCGGGGCGCCGTGTCGTGCGTTTTGGCTTTTTGCAGGTGAGCGTGTGTGGGTGTGTGTGGTTTTTTTTTTTTCTCGTGCGTAGACGAGGTTACGAAGCAAATCTCGTCGAAAGGGATCTGTTGCGATGAATGTGATTTGCAGGAGCAGGTTGTATCCTTTTGTTTTGCGCAGTGAATGCAATAAACAAAATGCGGCAACTTTCCCTTTCTGAAGACAATGCTCTCTAAATTGAACGCGTGCACTGACATCATAAAATTCATTGGTCCAAATTGAGTGCACAGAAGGCAGTGTACTTTTTTTTAATTTGCATAACTAAGCCTTCGATTTTCAAGCCCCCGTAGTTACTGCTTATGTAGCACCTTAAGGACACTGTGTAACGACAATGACTACTGACAACTGATGACCACTGACGATGACTATTGACAACGACAATAACAACTGATGACTATTGCATTACTGATCAAGCGCTACTATACCCGACTTATCTATTCTCGGGGGGCACTCTTCGCACAAGCCGTCGAAGGCACAGCATCATTGTCACAACATATGCTGAACTGTATAACCATTTTGATTCAACAACTATAGTTAGAAAGCGAGAGTGGCGCGCGTCATGGTAACAATGCCGCTGTACGAATTGACAATTGCCATTGCACTATGCAAGTCTTCTTTATGTGAAACAGGACTCATTTCGTCAAGCGCTCATTTTGTTGTGTGTATTCGTAAGTGTTCTTCTTTTTTTTTTGCGATTATCCGTCAATCTCCGCTAACGGCGACTCTGAGTGGTACGACCATTGCTTTTAATGCTCCGTCGGGTGATGATAATAGCAGCAAGACTTACTTTTTCTTGGCTGAGAGCAGTTTCTTGCTCACGTCTCTGTTGGCAACTAAGTCAATTGACACAGGAATTTTTAAGTGGTAATACCCCTGAGACAGTGACGTCACACCTACAGACTGTCTACTAACTTCTTGCCGCCGCGCGATATCGACGCTATCATCAGAAATGTGCGCGAATGATATCAGGAAGACGATGAGAGCGGGGAAAGCAACAAAATATAAGAAAGGCAAGCAATGTTGTGCGAAGATCTTGACGCTTTTGACATTGCTCACACTTTCCTTGGCGCCCACGACGACGACGACGAAGCTATGCAAAGCTCATTAGGCTGCGAGGCTCGAGCCGTCAAGCTCCTTCAAATAAACGTGAAGCAGAGCGAGATTGGCTGCCTTCTTTAAGTAAATTTTGGTTGTGCGCTGTATTCAGTTTTATTTTCGCGACAATGACGATAACACGCCCAAATCGCTCCCCCGGGTGATTTCGTTATCGAGGGGATTGGCTGTACTCGAATCACGTCTCTCCACTCACCATTATCCACTCAATGTTTTTTACGCCGACTCGCATGTAAAGGTCTGTGCTATGACTAGCTTTATTCATAAGCCTACCTTTATGCATAATGCCCACTCGGTGTCATAAATACGCATACTGAAAAAAATAGAAGCCCTTCTTCTGCCGGCAAAAACGAAGGCACACCGAAGATTGGCGTCGGCGTGCCGGAAATATGCCGCTTTTTTTAATTTCTTCCGCATTACGCATTGCTCCCTCTTCACGTTTTTTAGGAGCGAAGCTCCTTAGGACTTCTAGATGTCGGACCGTTGTCGTCGAGACTCGTCGTCGTCGTTATTCGAAGAGCAAATGCGAAACATCTGTGCGCCACACCATCTATAGAGCGTACTAAGGGGCCATATATTTTTAGAATAGACCGCAAATAAGCATCTTCATGAACATTCGTCATAATATTTCATCATTTCGTCGATGAGGCTTCGCTCCATCTTCAGCATTTTCACTGCGTGGATCTGCCGAATCATTTTCCTCGGTCCCTGCCGGGAATCGAACCCGCGTGCTTAGCGACCCGACACTTCTGTTGCTACACGCAAACACGATGGTCGTGCAGAAACAAAGAAGGCGACAATCAAATGGGGCAACACTAGATGACAAGCAAACTCGATAAAAGATCAGATTGATATATGAGGAACGGCTGGTCGCCTACAAGCCAATGACCGAGAGGGCATCGGTTAATTAGAAAAACAGTTTATAAATACTCGTACGACTGGCGCATATTCTAGAGCAGCGTATCTTTGAACTTTCTACTTTGTACTTTATTTTTTACTAGCGTAAAATCTTGAGGGTGCCCCCAGGCAAAAAAAAAAAAAAGGTGCCAAAAACAGCTTTAAGAGACCTGAGGAAACTTATAGGAAGGGGAATAAATAATCGCATAAAAAATGATAATGATACCTTGACGAGGCCCCGCCGCAGTGTTATAGTGGCTAAGGTACTCGGCTGCTGACCCGCAGGTCGCGGGATCAAATCCCGGCTGCGGCGGCTGCATTTCCGATGGAGGCAGAAATGTTGTAGGCCCGTGTGCTCAGATTTGGGTGCACGTTAAAGAGCCCCGAGTGGTCAAAATTTCCGGAGCCCTCCACTACGGCGTCTCTCATAATCATATGGTGGTTTTGGGACGTTAAACTCCAATTATCAATCGATACCTTGATGTTGAACATAGCAGAGAATACTAAGCCGGACAAAAAATTAAAAAAAAACATGCAATAAAAGGCACGAACAAAGCTATAGGGGTACACTATATGCATGAAGATACACAATCGAAATAAAAAAAAAGGCAACCATATTAGAAAAAAATACACATTCAGGTCACGTAAATGTACTTCACACCGATTGCATACAAGTAGAACAATGCAAAAAACAATGGTGTAGTGATAAAAATTAGCCTATGATTTATTTGCTGTAGACTCATTCACAAGAAAAAAGTCTTTTAATTTAGGGAGTGAAACATCAGAGTTGATTTGGCAAAACACACGATTTATTAGGCCGATACCGGGCGTCTTGAGTAGGATGCCATCATCATCATCATCATCATCATCATCAGCCTGACGTTGTCCACTGCAGGACAAAGGCCTTTCCCATGTTCCGCCAGTTAACCCGGTCCCGTGCTTGCTGCTGCCAATTTATACCCGCAAACTTCTTAATCTCATCTGCCCACCTAACCTTCTGGCTCCTTCTAACCCACTTGCCTTCTCAGGGAATCCAGTTAGTTAAATGACCAGCGGTTCTGTCTACGCGCTACATGCCCAGCCCATGTCCAGTTCCTCTTCTTTATTTCAACTATGATATCCTTAATCCCCGTTTGCCCCTAATCCTCTCTGCTCTGTTCTTGTCTCTGAAGGTTACACCTACCATTTTTCTTTCCATTGCTCGCTGCGTCGTCCTGAATTTAAGCTGAACCCTCTTTCACCTCACCGCCACCGCCACCCAAATCTGTAACTCATAATATTGCTACAAAATGTACATCTAGATGCGCCGAGATGGCACGCACATCTGCCGCCGCGAATTATGCGACAGGCGTATCGCCAGCCTCTTGAACCGCGCGCAGGGCCACCCGACGAAGAGGACGACAACCTCTCTCGGCTCGGGCTCCGAGCTGAAGCGGTCAGCCCCACCACCTCTGTTGTGAATATATCTTGTGAATGGACTACATTGCGAGCAACTCGTCATTCAAGTCGCAATATATTCGCAGTTAAGTCTAACAGCAAATTGAGGAACGCTGTATGAACCTACTAAGCAAGGTCTGGTGGTCAGCCAAACCTGAGGTCTGTCGCGTGGAGGTGGCCATCCTGTGGAAGTCCACAGCAAGTGTTGCTGTAACATTGCGCATCAGGGCGTCATGAATCGGGCAGGAGGCACAGAATCAACCAAGGTAACGTTGCGGTCTGAGAGTGGCCACAAATTGTTGTCCAAGTTTGTTTGAATCGCCTATTTCTTACGCAATAAGCACGGAACGAATAAAAAAAAAGAATGACCTTTCCTCAATAAGTATCAATACAATTGTCTGAGTAGAAAAAAAAGATGAATTTTGCTTTGGGTAATTGTGGGCGAAGGCATAAAGCATCATGGGTTTTTTTTGTGTGTGTGTGTGTGGTTTTAGATTAGCGCAGCCCTGTTCTGGGCTTTTGCACGAATTAGGTGCAATAAAAAAAAAACATTCTAACAACACATAACTAAGAAAACAAGCCCGTGAACGTACGATGTGGTGCGTGGTGCCCATTAACCAGGTTTATGTAAATATTTGTATGCATTACATTGAGCACCACACTTTCCTAGGCTATCGGTAATCTTTCTGTTAAACCTCCATCATTCCAAATATGAACAGTAAATGTTGAAACCACTCGATTCTTGGCCAATCCCCCACAGTGGGTATGCGCCACTAACAATAGGGGAACAACAACAAAAATAACCAGGGTGTAGTCGTGAGGCAGCACGCTACTCGCGCCGGTTGTCCTGTGTGCGCGAAGGAAAAGCTGCGTACCTCGCAACACAAGTGCCATGAAAAGCTATTCACCTGCTATGGGATGTGTATTTATATCAATACGAAAGCTCATATGTATCAATTATTTTTTCCCTCTCCACGTTACCAATCAAACCCCCATGGGGGGTCATTCACTGACAGACGAAAACAGGAAATCATATACATACTATGATCATCACGATCATTAACGATAGTTTGGAAATATTGTTGTTACATTCTTTTTTAAGGTGTTCTTATTGGCTGGTAGAGTAAAGGCAAGGAAGCAATTGCCTCAACATTGGAACCGTGATACGTCACAAGAAGCGACACAAGGATGACCTAGTCTCATGGTATCAGAATGTGACCCACATGCGGTGGTGGTCGTAGCTATGGCACTCGACTGCTGAACCCCAGGTCGCGGGCTCGAATCCCGGCCTTGACGGTTGCATTTTTGGTGCGAGCGAAAATGCTCAAGGCTCGTGAACTTAAATTTAGCTGAACGTTGAAGAACACCAGATGTTCAAATTTTCCAGAGCCCTCCATGATGGCGTCTCTCATAAT